AAAGCAATTAAATAGATACCTTCGATGAGAATTACCTTAGTACCTATAAATGCTGAAGTCAAAATACAATTAACGTTTAATTTTTGACTCAAAGTCAATCAAATCAATAAAAAACAAATTAATCAATGCAGAAAGATAATAAATAATCCCTAGGCAGTTATAAATATCAAAAACCTGCTAGGTGAAATCAAGGGGTCACGGTTTCGGGAAGAGCTCTTACGTTCTTACCTTTAAAGTTTGAAATAGGTAAACATGAAACTTATGGTGTTTCCGATTAGTAGATCTAGTGCGGAACTATAGTGCAATTTTTTTCTATTTCTGTCTTTTTTTTCTACAAGTCGATTTAAAGAATGCAAATACACTCAGTGCGCACTGAATCTACCAATCGGACACGCCATTAAATTTGACTACCTAAAAATTTTACATTAGTTTACCTTTAAAGCTACCACATTATTGATTTGAAATCAAAAGTTAAATAAACCTCTAAAGGTTAATGAACTATATATTATATCTCTCGGTACTAGGTATTGCGGAAATAAATTTATAATAATTATAATCAACCATCCAAGGACCTTTTTTTTTCAGTTATACATGTAAACCCCATACTTTGTGAGTGGCTTGCTTACATCAAGTCCGACAACGTTTTCCTCTACGACTTTTCTCGGAAATGGCATTTATGCGCGCAGGCAACTCGCAAACATGTCGATCTGACGTAGTTATGTTTCCTAATACATGTAAATCTAATTTTACGAATAATGTTTGATTTTCATATCTAAATCACGGAAATCAACTTGGCCGACAAAAATAATGGCAAATTGGGGGAGTCCGATACCCCCAAAATGTCGATCTGACGAGGTTATGTTTCTTGATACATGTAAATCTAATTTTACGAATAATGTTTGATTTTTATGTCTAAATCACGGAAATCAACTTGGCCGACAAAAATAATGGCAAATTGGGGGAGTCCGATACCCCCAAAATGTCGATCTGACGAGGTTATGTTTCCTGATACATATGTCGGACAAAAGTAAGTCTTGATCAAATAATGTTTTCTGAATGCTAAATTAGTCTTGTCCGACAAGTCCGACAGGAAATAAAGCTAAGAATAGAAGAAGAAGAATTTGGAATAACTGACTGATAATGTTGGATAGATCGATGGGAAAAAGAAAGCGCCTTATATATTATATAATGATCACGTTATATTGCATGCTCATGCTGATTTAAATGACAATTTTTGAGGTTTTAGGATATGATGAACACAAATTCAAATTCTGGAAACTAGAGAGAGTAACCCATGCTTAAGCCAATGTCTTGAAACTTGACGTCATAATTTCTGATTTGAAAATGTTAATACAAAAGGGGTCAAGACTTGTGTCTGACTTGAAATCGCCTAAAAATAGGGCCTCCCTCAATTTGACATATATTATTTGCCAGTAATTGCCAGTAAAGGTGGAATTCCGTGCCACTAATTTTGCAAAGAGCAGTTGGCAACACTGGTAAATTCAAATGGTATAAATTATCAGGTAAAGAATTTTATTTTTAATAATTTTAAAACTTTTCAATATTTTTCTGTTTTATAAGTTAAAGCAAAGAATGCTAAAGTAGTCTATAGTACATTGATTAGCGATTACGATAAAATGTATCTTTACTGTTAATATTTTTTCGATTATGTATTATTTTTTGCAAATTTTTGCCATACATTTATTTACAATATAGAGCTAATTTAAGATCGAAAAAATTTTTAATGAGACTTACATGTATCAGGAAACATAACCTCGTCAGATCGACATTTTGGGGGTATCCGACTCCCCCAATTTGCCACTATTTTTGTCGGCCAAGTTGATTTCCGTGATTTAGACATAAACATCAAACATTATTCGTAAAATTAGATTTACATGTATCAAGAAATATAACCTCGTCAGATCGACATCTTGGGGGTGTCGGACTTCTCCAATTTGCCATTATTTTTGTCGACCAAGTTGATTTCCGTGAATAGACATAAAAATCAAACATTATTCGTGAAATTAGATTTATATATATCAGGAAACATAGCTACCTCAGATCGACATGTTTGCGAATCGCCTGCGCGCATAGGTGCCATTTCCGAGAAAAGTCGTAGAGGAAAAAGTTGTCGGACTTGATGTAAGCAAGCCACTCACAAAGTATGGGGTTGACATGTATAACTGAAAAAAAAGGTCCTTGGATAGTTGATTATTATAATAATGCATACTTATTGGATCATAAATATTGATAGAGAAAACGATAATAAAAGTCAATAGCTGACTCTGATAATAATTAATTAATTTACTTAATATTTGTATTTAAAAGAGTAGTTAGCTATTCTAGCTACACACTACTAAACGGTAAAAAAATTAAGTCGGTAATCGAATTTACATAGATATTAATTAGCTAATAAAGCTAAACGATAGGGGGCGATAAAGAAGAGGTAAAAAAAAATAGGTTAAGGTAATTGGTACAGCTTGGGAATGTGGACTGTAAATAGACTTGTCTTTTTTGAGGACCTTTATTGAATTTAAGCCAACAATAATGGGTAGGGCCTTCAGGGTACAATACAATTTTTTTTGTCAAGGTCTGTCACTCTCTCTACCAGTAATTCTAATCTAACCTATACAGCCTTTTTAAAGGGCAGTTTACATATTTCAATAAATAATAAATCAAAGTACGTAGAATGTTCATAGAATTGGCGTTAACAGTAATTAAATTTACAAAGATATTAATTAGCTAATAAAGCTAATCGATAGGGGGCGATAAAGAAAAGGTCAATAAAAGAGAGTTAAGGTAACACCAAACTGGCTGGAGACAACCAAGTAATGGTTGGGGATCAACTTCTTATTGGACACAAACTTTCCTTGTAAAAGGGGCCCCGATTTGCTCTGAGTTTCCAGGACTTCATGGTCTCAAATTCGTCAATTTTCACTTAAAGAAGTGCAGGCGCGGATTTTTCGTCCTGCCCAAGGTGCCTGAATGAATTGAAGGAATATAAGGACTCATTCATCAGAGAGAAAAAGGAATTTACATACCTGAACGGACGATAGTAACCTCACTCTCCAAAATCTTCACAAAAATCAACAATCGGTTGATTTTCCACGAAACTCTCTAGTAGACACGATCAAGCACTCTTCTCGCTAGTTAATTTTCGAGAATATGGACTCGATGGCCAAAAACAAAGACAAAGTTTCAAGATTTTTACAAAAGAGAAAAGGCAAGTCAGAAGTACCCAAATTGACCTTTCGTTTGGACGCCATATTGCGGTGCGCGAACATAGTTGCCAAAAGAAGAAAACAAAAATTACTAGCGGGTGTCAACATTAAAGAAAGAAGAAAACAAAAATAACTAAATGATTGAGTAACTTTTGTTTTTAATGTTGTCAGTACGCTAGTAATTTTTTTTTTTTCTACTTTTGGCAACTATATTCGCGCACCGCAATATGGCGTCCAAACAAAAGGTCAATTGGTTCTGCCTTTTTTTTTCTTAATCTGTCAAGCTTATCAAAATCATAAAAATGACAGCGCTACAGGTGACTCGGAACAACAGAAATCTCTATATTAGGTTAGGAAAACTAGTCAGAAGAATCATAGATGTCGCTAGGTGTACGCAATAGTACTTTTAAGGTTTAAAGTCAGGCATATAGTTTATTACAGCAACGCGAGATGTCAGTACTGTGTGTCCTAACTTGATAGTAAAAAAAATAATAGAAATCTGCATTTGATTAAATTGTGTGATGCAAAGTTTTTTCTTTTTTTTGCGGAAATTCGAAGTATTATTCTGTTTTACATAAACAGGGTTGTAGTTTGGACCAACACAAATAATTTTGAACGTTCATCCGTCGGATTTTTGTTTAAACAGTGTAGCTACAGGTGTATTTCCAACTATTCTTGCAGTAGCGAGAAAACTACAAGTTCAAAAAATTTGAAAAAAATACATGTCGCGTAGAATTGCAATAGTAGTTCGTAATAAAAATAACGGGAAACTTCATCTATTCGTTTTGAAATAAATGGTGAAAAACCACTTTTTTTTCAGTTTTTGCGATATAACTCAAAAATGGCGAGTCAAATTTGCTTAAAAAAATTATGGATTAAAGTATATCAATAACCATAAAACATATATTTTTTTTGGAATTTTGGAACACAAGGTTCAGAAAATGGGGGTTGACTTTAAACCTTAAATGAGTCCAAAATCTATAAAAATAATTGAGAACAATAAATATATTCTTGTGACATTTCAAATGTTACAGTTGACACGTTTAATTATAAAAAATCGAATATACTAGGCATGAAGTTCATTTGAAAATCCTTTTTTTAATAACAAAATATAGATAACAATAAAACGCTGAATATTTCAACGTGGTTGTTAGATCTATTCTTATTTTAATAACTGATTTCTTCAATTTTGTCTATTGTAAAAAATAAACATTTTCTAAAGATACCATCAGCTTTTTTGTCAATTTGGCAAGATTTCGGTCTGGATAAACCTGATTGGAGTTTTTGGCACGCTCGCCGTTGCCACGGGACACTAGGTGGTTGTCAATGGGCTTACGTCTCGCTGTTGGCCAGGGCTTCCGTAATTTTATCTTTCCATCTTGGAATATCGATTTATATTGAAATATCCAGTGGCGGGGGTTTGGTCATTGTCGATTTTCGTGTACGAGTTGCAATACGATATCACACCTCCAAAAAGTTCCGCACGCAGCTGGGTATTTTATGAATGAAATCAGCCATTTTCTTTTACTACTGCATTTCCTTCACCGTCGCCCCGTAGACCTAGAATCGTTGGGCAGACATTAGTATGAATTTGGACTACCGTAGGTTAGAGGTAGATGTAGCTACAAATTCTCATTTAGCAGTTAATTGAGTCTTCAACAAAATCATCACAAGGCGGTTATCACGTAGCACTTTTTCCCCGAAAGTTCAGATTTACCTGCCAGGCAGGAGCTTAACACCTAAATTACCTAAAAATCATATATTTCCCTTTATTTACAGGCCGAATCCAGCATTTCTCTCCTAGAAGATTCCGATCTTGAGGACGAACTCTCTACCAGCCTCCTTAGTGAAGAGAAGCAAGATAACCGATGATTTGAAGCCTATAGTGTTTCGCCTTGAAAATAAATTGAAAGTTTATAGAAAACTACACCCCATAATTAGAAAGAAAAAAACTTATTTTTTTTGTCATTTTTAATTTTTTGAAAATTGTTACTGTAGTTTTCTATTAAACACTATACGATGACCTCAGCAATAAGGAAGTATTCAAATGAACACTAGTTTGACCTCCTACCCCTTCAGTGAGTGGAGGTGGTCAAGAATCTCACTGCCTACTGTGTATAATGAAAAATTAATTAATTAGTAAAAATAATATTAGTTAAGCTGCAAAAAAAACATGATTTTTAGTAATCTAATTGATCAACAATATTGTGTATGTGTTATACCTAGTTGCTGTTGATATAAAAATATTTCGACGTTAGGAATGACAATAATATTTAAAAAAAAAAAGAAATTAAAATATGGGGGAATGGGGCATCATTTATCGTTTGAAGTCCTAATAGAAGGTGATTTTTGTGGAATAAAAATTTCAAAAAATATTTGTTTTATGCTATACTTATTAGACGTACATTTATTGCAAAATTTTACACATTTTCCACCCACTGATAAGTTATCTTTTATAGGTAAACTTTTTTATTCTGCAAAAGTCTGAAATTGTAAATTAAATGTTGTTTAAATAAAGCATCTAATGTTAAGTTGTTGAATTTGACACATCAGAGCACAATAATACTAATAATTCATTGAAATATTCAACTATACTTAATTCCACCAAATTATTTGTAACTTACTATTTATTTGGTCCATTCCCATTATACGAAAATAAAATTTTAATTATTTTTAGTTTCGTTTATTTTAACTGTCGAGATACTAACTGTGTTTTGACTTCAAATTTTTTGTTTATTATTTGTTTCAGTTGAACTATAATAATTATTAATCAGCTTATCTGTTATTTTATCTTCATCTCCAATAAAATATAATTCACATAAAAACCAATTAAAATATTAATATTAATAATAATAAATATTTAAATTTGCCTTCTAAGATTAAAATGAGCGGTTGAAAATATCAAAAATAATAATTTGATATGTCCAATCACTGTAAGGTGTGAATTGTCATTAAAAAAATCATATCATAGCAAAAACTATATAAAATAATAATTAGGCCGAGAAACACTGCCATTCACTCGTGCCATTAGCAGTAAGAATAATGCCTACTCAATGTAATAATTTTAGGTTTATTAAAAATTAAATTTCAGTTCAAAGAGTCAAGCCCAACAAATGAATGTTTCTGTTCAGACTAATTTTAATTTTTTATAACCAAGTGTTCGATGCACCTATTCAGTTTTTTTTTAGCACTCTACCCTGTAGGTACTATCAACACCAAAATGCGGGGTCCTTATTCTGCTTTTATTGAGCCCCGGACGTCTGACAGCCTAAACTAATTAGTTTTAAAAGGTCAGTTGTTGGCTATAAGGGTTAATAAATTATTACATTGGGCAACCAGCATAGTATGTGTGTTTCCTATCGATTTAATATGGCATTTTTTTGGTGAAAATGTTGTAAAACAGTTAGGAGATTACTAAATATCACTGGATACCTACTTATTAGATATACCGGAATTTTTTTTTGACAAATTTTATATTTTTATGCAGGTAAATGAATCCACATAGGTGATACAAGAATAATGTTTGAAAAAATTAAAATTGAAGGCATCTGTTCACCAATATTTTAAAAATCGGCACATTTTCCTGAAAGATTTTCGATTCATACCTAGGACCACCCGGAAAATTTTCTTCCAGCACCATGAGTTGCAAAAACTCTGCCCTTAACTACTGAACTACCTAAGTCATATCGCTGATTAGTTCTCATTTTATGATCAAGGTATTCAAACTTTTTCGTTTTTATTATCTCAAGGATGTCTGTCTCTTTTTCGAGAATCATCAAAAATACATCATTGGTAACATGTTCAATCCATGATAATATACGTAGGATTCGACCATACTGCCACAGTTGAAATACTTCAAGCTTTTTTGAAGTTGCTTATGTAAGAGTTCATGATTCCACTCCACTCCTAAAAATTTGGGCCATGGCTTTCTCTATTCGGCATTGGGTCTTGACGGAACGGAAACATCTGTCATTTTCCGTCGTGCTCAGGTAAATAGGTAGATTAGATTAGATTAGATTAGATTAGATTAATATTGGGGTGTTGTTGCACTGCGACCTAAAGGTCTATTGCGCCCCCTGCTGAGGCCGATCTGATGTGGATTTCAAATCATAGTACTTCGTCCAGTCCTATGGCCTTGATGAAGGCTGGTAACTGGTACGGTGTCAAGGATGGTATGTCTCTTTCTAAAACTACATAGTCACCGAGATGTGTAGCCCGGCTTCTAGCGACGACTTCGCATACGGTTAGTAGGTGTTCTGGAGTTTCTTCCTCCTCCCCGCAAAACCTGCATTCACTGGATCTCTCGAGTAGCATTTTCCTGCGGTGTTCTCGAAGGTGGCAGTGCCCTGTCATAAACCCTGTAAGAATTCTTAGTTTAGTTTTACTTAAATTTGCTAGAGCTTTAGATTTTTTGGGATTGAAGTTTCCAAGGAATATCTTATAATGTCTCCGTCCGGGAAGGTCGTCCCAGAGGCGAGCTCTTAGGTCGTCTTCAATTTTCTTAAGCTCCGCTGTATAAGTGTTTTCACCTATACCGCAAAAAGGCTCCGGTCCTACAAACGGGGAACCGGATCCTTTCTTTCTCAAGGTATTGGCTTCTTCGTTACCTTCCACTCCTGTGTGTCCAGGCACCCATAGTAAAGTGACTTTATTTTTCTTTCCTACCTCATTTAGTTTCCCTAGGCAATCCCGTACTATCTAAGAACTGATGGCATATGAACTCAGTTCTATTATGGCCGATTGACTGTCGGTGAATATTGCAATATCTTGCTTGAGATAGTTCCTGTTCAGGATCATTTGAGCACATCTGTCAATGGCGTGTATTTCCGCCTGAAAGACACTGGTGTATTTACCCAGTGACTCAAAATATTTGGTGCGAGGCCCAAATACTCCAGCTCCTGATCCTTTGTCGGTTTTCGACCGTCTGTGTATCATTTAATGGTGTTTTCTTTGAGAGATTCGGTGAACTTGCCGCTTTCCCAGTCGCTTTTATTATCAATCCTTGTGAGGAAGTTTCTCTCAAAGTGATATTCTTTGGTTATATCGTCTTCACGAAGGAATACACCGTGTCTGGGATGACTATGCTCCTTGATCGATGATGTCCTTAGCCTCGGTCCTATTCCTAGCTAGTCTAAACATAGCCCTTTCTGCAGCTCCCTTCACCGACAAGTGCAAAGGTGTGAGGTCAAGTATAACGTTCAACGCTGCTTTTGGACATGTTCTCATTGCTCCTGATATACATACACTTGCCAGTCTTTGCAATTTATCAAGTGTTCGCCTGAAACTGCTGCCCCATATGTGGTTATGGATTTTACCATCATAATGTACATCCACCGCAGTATTTTTGGTGTTCATCCCCAGTTTTTTCCCGCCAAGTTTCTGCACACCATAATGGCTTTAGTAGCTTTGTTAACAATGGCTTCTAGGTGTTGTTTCCATAGAAGTTTACTATCCAGTGTTACGCCCAGATATTTGACTTCGTTTGCTTGATTTACAACCTTTCCACTTAGGTGAATTTCCCTAGTAAGTTGAATTTTCCTTCTACGTGTAAATGGTACAATAGTGGTTTTTGCTGAGTTGATGCTCATCCCCACCGATGTGCACCATTCTTCGGTAGTACTTAGGCCTTTTTGTATGAGGTCGTATAGTGTGCCCTCAAACTTGCCTTTGGCAATAATGACAATATCATCGGCGTAACCTATACAAGGTAGACCCTGATTTGTCAGTCTGGACAGGAGTTCATCAACTACCAGGCTCCACAACAGGGGTGAGGTTACTCCCCCTTGAGGTGTACCCCGAGTGATTCTGATGCTTGTGGTTTGTTCACCTACAGTTGTCTCAGCTGTTCTCGTAGTCAGCATTTCACAGACCCACCGGACTATGGTTTTATTCACTCCTCTCCTCTCCAAAGCAGCCCCATGGGACGTGTTATCAAAAGCCCCGGATATATCCAGGAAGGAACATATGGCTGTTTCTTTTTCCTTAATGGTTTTTTGGATGATTTCTGTAAGTTGATAGAGCGCTGTCTCTGTCGATCTGCCTGCTCTGTATGCATGTTGGCACGAGTGTAGAGGTGCCTTCTCCAAAATTTCCTTTCTGATGTAGTTATCTACAGCTTTTTCTATCGTCTTTAGTACAAAGGACGTAAGACTAGATCGAAAAGATTTAGGGTTTGTCCCATCCTTTTTTCCTATTTTGGGTATGAAGGTTACTTTAGCTCGTCGCCAGATACTCGGTATATATCCCGAGGCTAAACTAGTCCTAGCTACTCTAAGTAGGTGAGGGAATATTTCTTTTTGCCCTTTTTGTAGAAGGGCAGGAAATATTCCGTCCACTCCTGGTGACTTAAACGGTTGAAAGGTACTTATTTCCCATTTCATCCGTTCCGCAGTAAAAACCCTCTTTGCAGCTTCCCAGTCCTCCTTCTTCGGTTTACTGGTGTCGACTACCGTGGTTATTTCTACTGGTACGCTACCTGGAAAGTGCGTTTGAAGTAATAGGATGGCCTGCTCCTCTTCTCCTTTCGTGTAGGTGCCGTCCGGCTTTTTGAGGGCCATCACTGGATTTGTTCCTCCTTTGGCCATGGCCTTATGTAGCCTTGCAGCCGTTGGAGTGTCAGCAATTTTCTTACAAAAGTTTCTGAAATGTTGCCTTTTGGCTTTTCTTATCTCTTCGTTATACAGAGTAAGCACTTCTGCGTATCCCTGCCAATTTCCGTCACTTTTTGCTGTATTGAAAAGATGACGGACTTGAAATCTCAGTTTTGACAGGTGTCTGTTCCACCATGGTGCATCTTTTTTGGATCTCGCTGTAGTCACTGGGCAACTGGATTCAAAAGCTTCCATAATTGCCTCAGTGTCCTGCTCCAGGTCCATGTGGTGTCTTTTCCCACCTGAACTTAAGCAGTGAAGGTTGTTCTGTAAATTGGTTTTGTAGGCTTCCCAATTGGTTTTTCTCGGAATCCTTCGTATGGGTCTATTGTATTTTACATTCTCTAGGTTCAACTAAATTATCCTGTGATCTGACAGGGATGGTTCGGTTGATATTCTCCAGCTTTTGATGAGGTCTCTAATACTGGAGCTGACTAAAGTTATATCTAATACTTCCGACCTTGTTCTAGTCACGAATGTAGGCATAGTACCAACATTCAAGACCTCAAGTTCGGTAGTCATAAGCAATTCAAGCAAACTCTCACCTCTATAGTTGATATCCGTGCTTCCCCAGATAACATGATGTGCATTTGCGTCGCAGCCTAAGAGTAGTGGCAGGCGCTCTCTTCTGCAATATTGGATCTGCTCTTGTACCTCCAGCGGTGGTGTCGTTAGCCCATCTCCAGGAAAGTATGCTGAAGCAATTACTATGTTGCGGTTGCACCCTTCAATGTCGAGTTGTACGACAATGGGTGTCAAGTCCCGTGACATAAATTCTGTAACACATATATAATAAATGTCATTTCTTATGAGAATACAGGCTCTGGGTGATTCCTGCCTGTTATCGTATACTACCTTTGAATGTTTTCTTGACAAACCTTTGATTTACCCTCTATTGATCCAGGGTTCTTGGATCATAACTAGTCCCAGATCTTGGTTAGCGAACATTCGTACAATCACATCGGAGGATGCCCGTTTGTGTTGCAGATTGATTTGCGCTAATCTGGTGAATGTTCTAGTAATGGGAGGAGGGATCAGCAGGTGGTCTGTTTGGACTATCCTGTCCTCCCCTCTGCTGTTCCTTACTTTGATCCGCCAGAAGCTTCTCTTCATCTTCCTTGCTGATGACCTCATCCTCAGAAGAAGAGTTGACTTTAAGAGATTCGAGGCTTAAGCCCTCGGTCTCTTGCCCCTCGTTTCCCTTTGATGCAGTCTCATCGGTGAGGGTGTTCTCCAACAGAGAAGAGGCGGTCGAGGCTGTTGGTTCAAAGTCCATTTTCTCTTCCTCCGCTTCTTCTCGCTTCTTAAGGCCAGATACCGGGACTTGCCCAAACCTGTAGTGAATGGAGTGTCCCTTGGCCTTGATAGCTTCCTTACTTTTGGTATCGATCCCAATTGTAAGGACTTGGCCGTGGCCTTGTTCTTTCGCGTTCATAACTCGCCACGTATTTGTGGAGAGTTCCGCGTTCTGAACTTCAATGAGTCTCAGAAGAGCTTTGGTGTCTTGCCCTTTGCTCCTTGGGAGGAAGATACTGATCGTATGCGACTTGGGGATGTCGTCTCCTCTCCGTGCAACGAGTTCAGGCCCCTTCCATGCTTTCAGTCTGGGTGACATCTGAACCAGCCATTCGGCTGTCTGCTCAGATTCGCAGTCCACCAATACCATTCCCGAGCGGAAATCTATACCAGAGAACCGCAAGCCCCTGGCTGTGCTTCCAACATTTCTGCAACTACAGCCTCCTCCAGCGCCGTCAGTTGTTCGGGGCTAAGCATTACCTGAGGGTATTCCTTAGGCAATATCCCGATTCTATTGAGTTTCGCAGCTTTGGCGTAGCTGGTGACTTGCCCTGCTATGCCCGCTGGTCTACTCGTTTTCTGGTGTTCATTCCCAGTTTTCTGTTTTTTCCCTCCAGTTCTTTGAGGGGGTGAAATAAATTCACTACCTCTTTTGCCTTGGGGGTTTTTTCTCGGCGATGCCGTTGAAGGAGTTTCTTCGTCTCTCTTCTTCTTTTCTTCTAGGACTCTTCTCCTCGCTTCCTCAGGTGCCATGCCCTCGTGAAGAAGTCGTAGGTATTTCCAGCAACCTGCTCCGCTGAGTGCTTGCCTCAGCGGATCGTCTCTTCCTCCGGGTTTTCCCAGTTCTGGGAGAGGAAACGGAACCTTCGATCGAGGCTTTGCCTATGGTAAATAGGTAGGTCGCAGGGCCATCGTCTAACCCAGCATCTTTGCTATTATTTAGTTGGTTGGTAGCTTTCTCAATGACTTGATAAGAAGAACCGGTACTCAATGTTTTTGAGAGACCTTGTTATCCATTTTTGATTCCATTTTCAGAAATTCCTGAAAATCTTGCTTATAGATACCGGATCTTTAGGAAGCTGAGACCCTTTTTCATGTTATCTTTGTAGCAGCCTGTTGTGCGCTTACCTGATATCAACTGTTGGGCCCTGCGCCGAGGGCTGCTATCCCGACTCTAGAGCGGCATTGCCGGCTCAATTACTCTATGCCACATCCTCCCTTTTCACCAAGTGAATGTCTTTTTAACTTAGCACTCGAGTCGAATTCAACGCGACTAGCCTTAAACCATTGTTTGTCCTATTTACATTGGGTATATTAATGTTATGGATAAAACTACACACTTATTCACTATATACACTGTTGTACAATGTTCATTCTCGCTTTTGTTTCAACTAATCTTCACCACACATTCCATTGCAGGTGCAACGAAGTTCTGGCTTGGCTAGTCTTCCTGATCTGGAGGTATATCTCTGGTGAGTGGAGTTATAGACTTCAGTCTCCTCCTCGGAGCCTGGCTCAAATATTATGGAGTGGTTGGAGTAGTTGTCACTTTCGGAGCTATTGCCTTCAATTTCTGGTCCACTGGTTTGTGATGCGGCTGAACCGAATTCTGTGTTTGTATCATCCCCTCCATCGTCACCCTCTGATTCTGAGCTTGACTCATAATTGCAACTTTGGGGAGTTTTTGTGGAGGAACCATAGATTGTTTTCCAGATGTTCCATTTCGATTGATTCCATTATTCACAATTTTTTTTTTTTTTTAGGTAGAGTCTCGTGTAGAATATTTCGATTTTGTACTTCGAGAGTCATCTCGTGCTGACGTGTAAAACAAATCTTTGTTATAATTTTTTTTTTATCGAGGATAGGTTTCTGTCTATATATGGTATAAACCAAAGGGATTATTAATTTTGAAGATTTTTTAATAATAATTTGGCTGCAAAGTTTTCATTTCCAAATTCTGTATCTTTTTTCCAATACAGCCATAAATCAATAGGAAACAAATAGCAAAATAAAATAAATATTGAAATAATCTAGAAAATAAAATTAAGAAATTACCATAATGCAAAATACCTAGTTCATTCATCAGTGTGTAGAGCTTAGAAATTATTAAAATAAAATGTAATAAATTCTTTTCAAACCAATTTTTTAAAGGATTTATAAACTTTTGAAAAGTTACACCAATACACAACATTAGTTAATAAAATGTAGAAATAAAAAAAAAAAAACAGTCATTATTGAAACCATTCATCGTGTAGTTTGTAAATATTTTTCAATAATTTTGGACCTAAGTTGTCTATACGTATAGACATGTGCGATTAATTTATTTTTTGCATTTTTCTGACTACAAAGGTAACAAATCCAAATAGAACCCTTCTAAAAACTTGGAGGGAACTTGAGCTTTCTCACAAAAATGCCTAAAATAAAATAATATTTAGGCAAAAACATTTAGTTACAAGTCTGTAAATAATTTCTGCTATTTTATATTGTTTTTTCTCGGTACTATGAAAAATACAGATTGATCTCTGAGAGAGCAGTATTGTCTATGTTATATTCATTTATAGTAATTGTTTTGTGTTGATTTTTTAGTTATGAATATAATAATAATTGGAACTGAATAGATCACCCTTTATCGCAATTTGTAGCATGAAAATCTAACCATATTTCTTCTTAACCTCTATCCTACCATTAAGAAATTATTGTTTAAATTGTCGCCTTCCATTTATAGTTTTCTTAAATATTTGAAATCGACAGTTTATTCAATAACTTTTAAAAAAATCACACTTATCATCTTACATATCTCATTAAAATAATTAATCTAAAAAAAAAATATACATAAAAAAGTTGCTTTTTATATTATCATATTTATGAAAATTTGGCATAGACAAGAATGAAATAATACAATAATAAAATGGTATAGAGAAAATAATAAGTGTATGAAATTATTGAAATAAGTCGGTGCAATTCCCATATTGGAATTCAATAAAATGAAAAATTGATAAACCAAGTACGAAAATTAATAATTAGATTTAATTTTACCAGGTTTGTCAATTTTTTATAATGTGCAAGAAAGTTGTAGTTATAGTTAGATATTATAGTTATATACTTTTTCCCGAGTCTTCATTTAAAAACAAAAACACGCTGTTGTATACATAAAAATACCTTATAAGAACGATGTAAAATTGTGAGATGAAAAGAAAAACGTTAAAAATTTGACTGTGTATTATTTAGATTAACGCATACTGACTGAACTGATTTAGAATAAATGGGTTAGTCAATATTATGCCCGAATTAGTAGGTGATGTTTCCCAGTTTATAGTTTTCTCTCTAGAAATCCGAACATTATTTTTACGAATTTTAAAAAAATTCAGAAAAACTTGTCGTTGAATTTAAAAAACAATGGAAATTGGAAGTTTTTCCTCGGAAAAAAGCTAGGGTTTAACCGTAGCTTCAAACACACTGTTAATAACTCATACGATGAGTTAGTATTGTTCTGGTCACAGCCAAATTACACGATACGTGTGGTCTTATAGGGTGAGGCAATGGAAAATATGGAGAGGCTTTATCAAATGAGCTTCTCGTTCGCCCGATTTAAATCCACTTGATATTTTTCTTTGTGGTGATTTGGGAACAAAAATGTATAAAGCCAAACTATTGTTACGATTGTTACGAAAATGCATCCAAAACTCGACTAGAATTCTGGGAAATTCGTTGTTTACGTCTGAGAGCACGTCTTTTTGGAAATTCTATTAACAAGTTTTTCTGGATAGATCCAGAGTACGATTTCGACTATCAATAGCGCGTATAGTCAGAGCCATTGTGCTTTTGAGGATAAGCCATATACTCCGGCACCGATTCCACTGTCAAGTTTTGGAGCCATTAGTGTGTTGCGCAAAAATTGACCCTTAAACTATTTGAATAATAACTTTGAATAAGTAAACCCTAATAGGCCTAGGTGCAGTAAGACACCCTTAAGGAATGCAGCCAGCGCGACAAAGTGCTTGCGGCTACTCAGTGGTGTGGGAGTAGGTTCAATATTTAAAGTTAGCTTTATAGGGCGCCACTGGTTTACAAAATAAAATCCGCGGACTTAAACCAGAAAGTCCCTGATCTCCAAAATTCATATAAAAATGTACCTACCCGATGTACCTATCCTCTTAAATAACTTTACCTTAGTTTGGTTGAGGTCAGTAGGGGTAAATTAAGAGTCAAATCTAAAAACAATGATCATAAATCTATTTAATAAAATAAGGGGGGGTATGTTTAGAACTGCAAAGGCCAATAGAAGGCAATATAATACATAAAATACCACAGTAATTATTATTTAATGTAATTGGTAAAATTACCAGAAGGTATAGCAAGGACCAATTTGTATTGGTCCTAAATAAGACACTCCAATATGTTCAAAATTTACAAATAAATGTTTGACTACCTTACTCCAATGAGAGTGCAAGAGAACAATTAAGTAATAAAAAGATTAATCGTATTAATTAAAACCTCTGCACGCTTATACCATGGTATACCTGGGCGGGTTTGTACAAAAATGTCACCTTAAATATAGTCAATTAAAAATTATTGGTGCAGTACACCCAATGTAATAATGAAGGAAGTAAAACAAGCTTGGAAATGTACCAAGTTAGATACAAGAAATACTAATAATAATAAATAGGAAAATAATTTAAGAAATGTTAATAATAAGTTAACGGGTACATCACCCCCTTGTGGTCCTGTCTACAGTCTAAACATCCATTATAAATTTCCATCACTGTCTCATGACAGCCTCATAGACCCATCAACTTCCTTGACCTCCCTTCTAAAATAGGGTAACTTCTGGTGCCAAGTTTAGTGTTGTGTGTACTCTGACACCCCAACTTCGAGACCAGTAAACCGTCAAAAAGGTAAACCCAATGGTAAAGGTAAAATCTAAACTCCTAGAAAACCCTGAAAGAGGACAAATTCATTGAACTTAGAACCCCTTTATAATTATAATATATATTAGTGCATATATTATAAAATTATTCCTGAATCCCCTGAAACCCGTAAGTTTCCTTTTGAAAATAATTCCCTTTAATTAATTAGCCCATTAATGCCCCTTTTGAAAACGACTAATAAGTTTTTTTTACTGACAAATGGCCCCTCGCGGAGGTCGAATTTCCCTTTTTTTATTGAATCCCAAATATTTACCAAAAAACAGATATGCTAATCTAAATATTGATAACGAAAAGGTAAATTGAGAGTGATAAAAACGTTTAAATTTACCTGGTTACAAATTTGGGCTAGTTGAACAAAACGTGCTCTCTGCTCACACGACAAACCAACAAAATGGCGTAGATTTCGTTACAAAAGGTTGGCTTACAAATACGGGGATTCACGACCAAATCCAAAGTTTTCACCCCAAAACCAATTTAAGCCATCAACCAATTGAGTTCCCAACGCCTCCAAAATCCCATAAAGGGTGGATGTTCCAAGGAACGTAGCAAAGGACCGCTGGTAAAATCTGCCACTTGTTGCTTGCTAAACGTGCGAATTTAAAAAGAACGACCTTATTTTCAGCAATCTATTAGGTGAGCTCCTATGAAAAATTCCCCAGAATTCTATTTTTTTTCTAAGATGCCCTCTGGAGCCAGATTTCCGGTCTTGACCAGGAAAACGGAACAATCAGCTTGGAACGGAACAACCCAGACCACATTGATGATAAACGAAACCCAAAATCGTTTTCTCCCCTAACACCAATTAACATTAATTAATTACTTATTAATCAACATCTACCCAGTCTGTAGTGCAAAAACTATCAAAATGACCAGTCGTTCAGTGGTCACAACTACAGTGACTCTATTACCCACAGTGGTCAAGAGACCTCGGCAACAACGCTGCCTGAAACGAAACAACAAGTGTCAATTAATCACACTTATTCGGCGAAAGTAAATAACCGGGAAAATTAGTGGAAATAAGGGTGGAAAAGCGATTTTAAGGCTGTGAAAGTGATGTGTGATGTTGCAGAATTTTTAATAATGGAAAATACGTGACTCGTAAGTGTTGCCAATTGATATTTATTTGGAAGTAAACAAACCTTTTTATCGACATTCAGGGCCTTTTAGACAACTTTCGTAAGCTAAATAAAATAGATTTCGATCCTAACAGTAGGGCTTTATTATCCTAAAACTACCCTGTCATCTGAATACAAAGAATTTACTCATTATTACCTCGAAAAATATACCCTTGTTCAACAACTAGATATTGTTTCGCATCCAATCACTGAAAAATATTAATTCTCAGGTATAAAGCCTTCTAAATATCCTCACAAATACCTGAATTAATTACCGAATTCATTCGAAATCTCAGTTACGTATTAAGGCAAAATTTGAATGTAACAAGTGTACCATACTAACTTTCCATTCTGGACTAGTGAGTTTTTTGTTTTGTTTTCCTAGTTAATCTGGACTTGAAACAGTTTGTGAGTGTTTATTCTCGGGGTCATGTTGTCACTTCTCATCTCAAACAGTGAATTTGTAACAATGTTGGGTATCCTGGTATGTCCGTATGTTCGTCTCGGATTCCAGTTCTGACCACAATTGAGTCTGTAGGCTCCCATTCTTCCCTCAGCTTTGATATATCAAGTGGCGGGAGGTTTAGTATGGATTACGTAGCAGTAGTTGGAGTTTCTCATTGTACCCATTATGCAGAGACAAGCTATTGGCGACATTCTACCTTTGTCGGTGGCGTATTCAATATGCGCGATCCAGGGCTGAGTTCACGACAAGTAGAATTCTACTTTCATGATGACGGTTGCTAGACCTTACGTCATGAAATTAGAATTCGACTTGTCGTGATCCCAGCCCTGGTAAGTTTCGCATCCCGGATAATACCTAGGTATTTGACTTCCCGGACGAATTGTATTTTGTTTTCCGATTTTCAAAGAAAGTGGGAGGAACTAGATCGTCTATTTTTCTTCTTTTCATGAAGGGGACCATGTGCGGTACAGAATATGGATATACTTAGATAAACATCAGTAATTTGCTGTCACCAATAATTGTGCCCTGCGGAATCAAGAAATGACAGTTTGAAAAGAAATATCGGTTTCGGTAGGTACCAGTAAATAAAGGTTTACGGTAGAAATGCGAGAGGAAGTTAGAGGTCATAGTAATAATATTAATAGTCTTGGGAAAAATGCAGCAATACCTAGGTAAATACGTGAAATGATGTAGCGCAAATTTTGCACGTTACAAACTCTCCCTCTCCTACGACAGGAGGAAATATTACAGAAGTTTCCCGACGATCTGACTTGGGAAATCACTACGAAAAAAATATTTTACTTAAAAACCCTATGCAAAAGGAAGTCAATCCAGAAGTCACATGACTGAATGTTGTCAATAGATCAGGGAACAAAACAAAATATAGAAAGCGAGCTATTGAAAGGAACCAATTATAACTAAAGCTAAACATATAACTTGGCGGTCGTCGGTACAGCATTTAAAAGTGGAATCCCCGGACACCTTCACAGGCGGAGCCGAACGACATGGATGTAGATAAACTGACTTGCTGAAATAATCAGATATAACCAAAATGTAGCAGTACCCTTTTTTGGATCGCGGTAGCGGACCAATGTAGTCTGAACTGATGGCTTGGAACGGCTCGGTTATTTCAGGCCGATCACCCATAAACCCTGCTGGACATCTTTGCTCGATCTTACTTTGAGCACACGGAAAACAAGACTTAATATAATAGGGTACTTGCATGGAAAATTAAATTAATTATTGTATATTGCAAACTGTAGGAAATCGAAAAAAAATCGATGCGTGCTTTTTTATTTTGTCCAAATACGATTATTTCGAAAGTTATACAAATATTGAGTTTTGTATATATAGATATACTGAATATGAGCTACGTCACAACGTATTATAAGTTATGACGTCAGAAGGACATTTCAAAGCGTTGTATCTCCGTCAATTTTTGACTAACAAGAAAAAGAAAAAACACGTGTTTACTTATTTTTCATGGGCTATCGAAATCAGCAATAAAAAAATTTGATGCAAGGGGCCTATTATCAACGTCAGCCTTCATCTTTGACCAGAAATAATTTTGAATAACTTTCCCATATGTCTTAAAGAGCGTAAGAGGGAATATCATGACAGCGCTACCCTCACTAGTTGTGGTAGGATAAAATTTATCAGAATTTACGAAGGAGACAGGCACCGACCTGGCGATGTGGTCCT